AGTCCTGTTTTCTGAGCAGGGTCCTTGTCTGCCCGAGCGCTTAGGTTGCCCATAGAAACCCACATGAGGAGCCGCCACAAAGTAGGAGGAGGCATGGGGTATTCAGGTGTGGTGGTGCCTGCAGACCCCGCAGGGTGGTCCTCCCAAAGGCCCAGTGGACTTCCTGCTGCCCACGGTTCCTTTCATGCTCTTTGAGATTCTTATCTGCCTCTTTCCCAGTCTCCCCTGTCCCACCCCCAGTCATGGAAGTCCTACCTGATGGAGAGAAATGGGATCCTCCTGTCATTCCCTGTACCCTGGCTGGCCAGGCACTTGCTGCCTGCTGTCCTTTCCCTGGAGAGGTTCAACCCCGTGTAACATTTCCATGGTGGGTGTGGTGCTAGGAGATGTTCCTCTTGCCACTTCCTCTGCTGTGACCAAACTTGTTTTTGGTTTTGGATTTTTTTGGCTCCAGAGGCATCCTGGAGTCTCCCCTCGAGAAGGCTGGATTCTGCAAATTCTTTCCCGTGTGTGTACCTGCCCTGTCAGCATTCTCAGGTCTTTTCCCAGCCATGGCAAGAAGGGCTGGGCAGGCTTGCTGGCTCCACTGGTTCCCAAGCCCACATGAGTTCTGTGTGCCTGTTACTGCAGGCACAGGGCGTGAGACTCCACCTAGTCCCCCTAAGCCCACAACACCACTTGGGTGCTTTTGTTCATGGATGGATGTCTAATTTGTTAAAAAGGTGGAACATGTCACACCACCCTGATACTGACCTCACTCCCTCTGCTTTGTATAAGTTACATTTAATTATTAAAGCAGGTAGGAACCTTATCTTTAGTAGCATTTGAATAAATGTAGTTACCAAGTAATGACACAATATTGCATTCCCTTTAAGTGTTATAGAATTATGACTTCTTAATAAACCAGATACTTTTTACAGCTCCCTCTCCCCGCTCCAGTCCATCCCAGCACAGAGACTCAGCATGACATGTTTAGTTCTTTCCATATGTTCTTCACTGCAGGTGTGTGTAGTTCGTCTCTTATGCTGAACAGAGAGTGAAAAGGTGAAGACAGAAGCTAGAATTATGGACATGATGCTTTTACAAAGTTAAATAGATTGCCCAAAACTCTGGTCCTCCTGCAAAGGGAGAGCTACAGTTCACATGTTGACCAGCAGAATCGCTCTGTCTTGCTGTTGTCGGGCAGCTGTGTCTGGGGAGGTCTCCCCCTGAACACCAGGAGAAACCTCAACCTGGACAGGGGAGGGTTCTTTACCCTGAATGAGAAAGAATTCTTAAGCAGGTCGGACAAGTGTAGGTAAAGAAGGAATAATGCTATAGTAGCAGAGAAATGGCAGCCCCTGTACAGGCAGCAGAGAGCATGGGAGAGCAGAGGGAGGAAAGGGAAGCTCACTGAACTCCTGCTCAGCACAGGGCACATCCCTTGCCAGTTCCTGAACCAGGATCACCTAGTGTCCAGTGTCTGCTTGAATCGGCATGGCTTGGGAACTAAGCTCCTGCCACCCCAGGATTTGGGGGAACCACAGAGCACCGGATGGAGTGAGATGATGTTCTGAGAACTTCCCAAAGGCAAAGAAAGGAGATTTTTAGGCAGGCTGCTAAAGAGCATGATTGTATAGCTGCAGTCACATCCAGGTCACCTAGGTGAAGGGAACTTGCAAGCTCAAATGAGAGATCTCAGTAGCCCTTCCCTAGTTGTCTGAAGTAGAACAGAGAGAGAGACTAGTGCTTAGGTGTAGAAAATTGTACTAAATAGCAGGACAAAGACATATTTACCTGTGGAAGACTGCAGAAACAAAATGCAGTTAAGTTGAGCAGTGAGAAGACTTTATTTAAGGCAAAAAATACACACTTGAAGAAAGGGGAGTGTGCACAATCTCAGAAGAGGCACACTTAAGGGCTTAGGATTCTATCTTTTTAAGACTTTCAGGAATGGGGCAGAGGGTGAGGGGGTGGGGGAGGATGTAGGCTTGACATGTGGTCTCATGATGTCTCTGTCCAGTGAGTCAGTTCTGAAAATGTTCTGTAAGATAAATTTAACACAAGGAATTTATTGATCCTGTTCTTCTCCAAGATACTGCTTACCCTCATACAATGAGAATATATCAGTTAGGACTGCTTGTTCTGCCTTGAAATAGGCTGTTGGTTAATTACCAAAGAATATGTTAGGAGTCTTACCTGGCTTTTAAAATGGAATCTTAGCCTTAAGATGGAGTCTTGCCTGTTCATATTATACCATTTCTATCTGGGCATTTTCATCATATGCAGGAAAAGTTAATCATGATGCTTGTCCCATGTCCTTGCCCTGCCTCACTACCATTTGAAAAGGTAGCCCTTTATCGATCAATCAAGGAAGGAAGGAGCATTTCATATCCTTTGCTTTCACCCACTTAGGATGTTTCAGAGCCTACTTTTCAATCTCTGTTTTATTCATTAGCTTTTAAATGAAAAAAAATATTGTCTGGGTTGGGTTTTGGTGATTGTTTGGTCGTGACACCTAGAATTAGTGTTTAAACATTGTTTGTGACGATTAAAGCCCACTCATTCCCCATCCCTGGGCGCTGGGAAGTTCCTGCAGCCTCAGGTCAGGGGGCACGATTCCTCCTCTGTGAGACCCTCTGAGCCTCGCACCTCGCTTCCTGCCTCTCATCCAGTCTTTGTGAAGATGAAGTCATGTGACGAACGTGGAAACGTGGTGTGGGGGTGGGCAGTGTTGCACATGAGTGTGTGTTTGGCTTAGTTTCAGTCTGTCTGTCAGAGGAGGTGGACACTAATCACCCATGGCCAAGGGGAGAAGGCAGCCTTGTTTCATCCTTTGGTTTGAGAAGTAAAAGCTGAAAGGCTGGGGCCTTGAGAGGCAGGCATTAATATAAGATAAAAAGCTGGCTTTTACTGAGTTCTTTCGGTGTGCCAGGAGGAAGCGTTTTCCATGAGCTGGCTTCCTTAATCCTCAAAGGGTCATATGAAGTAGGTGCCGTGATTATGCTCATTTTACAGAAGAGGAAACTGGGACATGGAGTAGCCAAGTGAGTTTCCCAGGGTCACATGGCCAGTGAGTGACCGGAAAGGGCTGGGAAGGGAGTCTGATGGTGTCCAGGGGAGCCCTCGCTCCAGACTGGGGATATCCTTTTTTCTGGGAATTTTGTTGCTGCAGGAAGGGATCTGGAGTCTCACTGGTGTGTAGCTGTCTCCATCCCATGGACAGGGGGATGTAAGAAATTGTGAATTCAGAAATCTCTGAGTTGATTCCTGTCCTTCCCGGGTACATGAATGTTTTCTTGAACATTTCCAGGAGGTATTGCAGCCTTTGCTGGAATGCCTCAAAGGGTAAGGAATTCAGGCAGCAGCCCTATTTTTGGACAGCTTTGAAGTGATAGAAAAGTCCAGCCAGCCTCCCTCCTGCTTGAGGGTGTCAGAATGACACGTGTGAGTCTGCTCTCAAGCCCTCTGAGAACTCGGGGAAATCATGCCATTTGGGGCCCATTTCTGCTGCCTCTAACTTTGTGGAGTGTGAGGCCATGGTCCTCTCCAGAGAAGGAGTAGGAAACCATGGGTCACAGCATGAGGCAGTCTGTCTCCAGAGGGAAATAACTCACTGACTGGCATGTTGGTGACCTTCTCACAAACCCCTCACCTGAGAGACTTGGCAGTTTGAGGCACATCTTTATGCTCTGCATGCACACGCTTGCTCTGGGGGACACATGCAGTGCTGGGGCCAGTGTGCATGCCCCGCTAGGAAGAGTTCAGAGAAACTGAAAGTAGATTCCTGCCTCAGAGTTTCTGACAAGATCCAAGGAGCTGGATTTGACACCGTGTAGTTAGTTGTGACCCACCATTCACTGAAATGCTACACCAGGGCCGGAGAAACTCAGGGGAAAGTCCATGAGGGTCATTTTTACCTATTGCCAGAATGCCTTTGTTGTGTTGTCTGTGGGTAAAAACGCATGTCTGCCTTCTACCTCAGGTGTTTCTCCCAAGAACAAATAGATGAAACTCCTTATAAATCACAGCTCTTGAGAATGAGCAGCAAGATGCTTAACTAAAAGTTAAGCATGGAGGCTCCAGCTGGGCCCTCCCATTTGCCTTCACTATTAAAAAAATTTTTTAAATCAAGGTACGTACAATAAAATGCACAAATCTTAGATATAGCTTGATGCATTTGGCACATGTGTACACTCATGTAACCATCACCCAGATCAAGATAACAAACATTATCACAAATTTTTCCCCCTTGACCTGTTTCACCCATCCCCATGGCAACTGCCAGTCTGTCTGTGCTTAAGTGTATTTCTTATGAGTGTTTGTTCATTTGTTTTGTTGTTTTGATTCTACATATAAGTGAAATCATATGGTTTTTGTCTTTCTCTGTCAGACTTATTTCACTTAGCATCATACCCTCTAGGTTTGTCCAAGTTTTAGCAAACAGCAAGATTTTTTTTTTATGGCTAAGCAATATTCCATTGTATATATATATATATGTATCACATCTTCTTTATCCATTCATCTGTAGATGGACATTTAGGTTGTTTCATATCCTGGTTATTGTAACTAATGCTGCAATAAACATAGGAATGCATGTGTCTTTTCAAATTAGCAGTTTTGTTCTCTTCAAGTAGATTCCCAGAAGGGGAATTACCAGCTTGAATGGTAGTTCTGTTTTTATTTTTTTGAGGACTCTCCACACTGTTTTCCATAGTGGCTGCATCAGTTTACATTACCACCCACAGTGTAGGAGGGTTCCCTTTTCTCCACATCCTCACCAATACTTGTTATTTCTTGTCCTGTTGATATTAGATTAGCCCCTCTGACTGGTGGGAGCTGATGTCTTATTGTGGTTTTGATCAAGTGTAAAATCTTTTCTTTCTTTCAGTATTTTTTAAGTGTCAAATGATTTCCTTTCACAGAAATTATAACTGAGGAATCAGTGTGTGTTTATTGTGACCTGAAATGGTTCTGCTTATCCTGGTTACTCTAAATTAGCTTTTTCCTTCTTCCTGCAGATCAGCCAGCAGACATGATGAGCACCAAGGCCTTTACGTTGGTGTCTGCTGTGGAGCGGGAGCTGCTGATGGGCGACAAGGAGCGTGTCAACATAGAATGTGTGGAGTGCTGCGGCCGGAACCTGTACGTGGGCACCAATGACTGCTTCATTTACCACTTCCTGCTGGAGGAGAAAACTCTGCCCACAGGCACAGCCACATTCACTGCCACTAAGCAGCTGCACAGACACCTGGGTTTCAAGAAGCCAGTGAATGAGCTGCGAGCAGCATCAGCTCTCAACAGACTGCTGGTGCTCTGTGAAAACGGCATAACTCTGGTGAACATGAGGAGCCTGGAGCCGGTGCCCTCGGGGGCCCGCATCAAAGGGGCCACGGCTTTCGCTTTGAACGAGAACCCTGTGAGTGGGGACCCGTTCTGCGTGGAAGTCTGCATCATCTCTGTCAAGCGGAGAACCATCCAGGTGTTCATGGTGTACGAGGACAGGGTTCAGATCATCAGGGAGGTGTCTACGCCGGAGCAGCCGCTGGCCGTGGCTGTGGACGGCCACTTCCTGTGCCTGGCTCTGACCACCCAGTACATCATCCTGAACTACAACACTGGCGTCGCCCAGGACCTGTTTCCCTACTGCAGCGAAGAGAAGCGCCCAATCGTCAAGCGGATCGGGAGACAGGAGTTCCTCCTGGCGGGCCCGGGAGGGCTGGGTGAGCAGGCTGCTTTAGTGCCTCCACTAACTGTCACCTAGCTGCCCTCTCTGTCTCATCTCCAGGAATTCAATGCTGGAATCCAAGACAGAGTTGTTAGTGGTGAAAAATAGATACTTGTGAAGAGTATTTGCCAACTTTGAGGATATGTGGCAAGATGTAAACAGAACGCATAACCAGTGTTTGCTAAAATTTCCCCAGATTGTTGTGTGAATGTGCAGTTAATGGGACAATAGTAGACCAGTCATAAAGCCAGTTTTATTTCAAGCTAAAGAGGAGCCTGAACATGGCTCTGGGGAGAAAGTACCTTTAAGTAAATAATGACAAAAATAAGAATCTGTGAGTCATCCTTATGAAATTTTCACATAGGTGGGTTTGTTAGTTGATTGTTTTGGTTCCTCCTTTCAACAAGGGGTTGGGGGGCTCACTCATAGGCATTTGGGGCTCACTTATAGGTATTTCCAAATGTGCAGCCTTAGACTTCAATGGGATGTCCGTATTTTTCCCTGGTTGGCTGCAATTTCATCCCACTAAAAATTTCCTAGTAGCTCCTTGGGGGGGCTTTGCTGTTCTGTGTGGCCTTACTACTTCTCGGCACAGCTTTGTTGACATTGAGTGAGAGCGGATAAGTCGCGGTGTTTCTTTTTGGTCGTGGACAGCTCGTGTTAGGACTGTGCACAGGCCTGTGACATGCAGGTGCTGGTGAGGTAGACCCCTTACCCCTAGTATTCTCACCATCCAGAGGTGAGTGTAGACATCTCATTTCTAAGCGATATAGGTCAAACATTTCCTGGTAATAACAAAAAGTGAGGTTGTGAGCTAGTTAGTATGTATTTCCTGATTTTTACCTTGTTTGTTTAAATGGACTTCAATTTTTTAAAGCGGTTTTGGGTTTACAGCAAAACTGAACAGAAACACAGAGTTCCTGTATACTCCCTGTGCCCAAACACATACAGCCTCCCCAACTCTCAGCATGCCCTGACAAAGTGCAGCGTTGGTTATAGCTGATGAAGCTGCCCTGACACATCATTATCCCCCAGAGTCTGTAGTTTACCTCTGGGCACAGTCTTGGTAGTTTATATCCTATGGGTTTGTACAAACTTATAATGGCATGTATCCATCATTATGTACCATATGGCATTTTCACTGCCTTAGAAGTCCTCTGTGCTCTACCTATTCATCCCCATGCTCCCAACACCCCCCCAGCAACAGCCGGTCTTTCCAAAGTGTCGTGTAATGGAAATCACACAATGTGAAGCCTTTTTGCATTGCTTTTCTTTACTTAGTAATATGCACTAAGCTTCCTTCATGTCTTTTCATGGCTTGATAGCTCGGATTTTTACTTTTTGGAAAAAAATTCTTTACCCCAAACATTTTTTTCTTTAGAAAAATTCCAATTTGTAATGAAAATTTTTATTATGCAAAACATATATTTTAAAAAATGTGCTATAATGAACTCAATGTACCCATCATCCAATTGCAGCTATATCAGTTCCTTACCAGTTGTTCGATTTATATACCTAACCATTAACCCTTCTTGATGATTGTGAAGCCAATAACAGAATTGAAGCATTTCACCTGCCAACATTTCAGTATGTCATTCTATGTTACCTAACAAAAAAAAGAAAACCATTACATAACTAAAAAAAAAATTAACAGTAATTCCTTGATATCATCAAATCAAGGCATATCATATTTCTCCTATTGTCATATGTAGAAAGGCGTACATACATTTATGTTTAACTATGTGTATGTGTATTTTTCAGTTTGCTTGAATCAGTTTCCACGTAAGGCCCATGCTTTGCAATTAGATGGCATCTGTTAAGTTTCTCTTTCTTTAGGTTCCTTCTCCTTGTCTTCTTCCTTTTTCTTTAATGCTCTATTGAAGAAATTGGATCATATAACCTATAGCTTCCCACAGTCTGAATTTTGATGATTTTATCCCCATCTTATTGTTTAATGTGTTAGGATGACATATAAATACATCAAGGGTTCCTGACAACTGGTAACTTGGGTCACAAGTCTTATCAGAATCAAGTGTTTTCTTTTTGGTTTTTGGTTTTTTTGCTCATTTTGGGGGAGAGGCAAGGTTTCTTCACAGTTACCAGAGAACTTCCATCAGGGTTGTAGAACATTTTGTCCCTCTTTGTGATGTTAATAGCTTTTGATGGGTTTTGCTTTAATCGTTAGGCGCTGCCAAATGGCAGTATTCTATTTCTTTCCATTCATGTCCACTCCCCATTCATGGATTAAATGAAATGCATGGGAGAAGAGAAGCTTCTCACTAATTGTTTGGTTGCCCCAGGTACACTGTATAAGAAAGGCAGGATGAGGTGTTCGATAAAGTGATCCTTTCTGTCTTCCAGAAGTGACTTTTTAAAAAGTCACTAATTTAAATTAATCTGAGTGTTTCAGCCCATCTGTGTTTGGTGGGAGTTTATTCAGGTTGACTGCTGAGTCCCTTTCACATGACTCTGGACCTTTGATGGCCTCCTTGCCTTCTGGTATGACAAGGTATTACAGGATCACATTGTATGTTTCCTGCCTGAGATCCAGTTCCAGCCATTTCTCCAAGGACTCCTGGTATTTAGAGACCACAGTCTGGATGCTAGAGGTGTTTCTTGTCCATAGTTTCTAGGCCTCTTCAGTAGACAAAGTTAGTAAGTATGCATTTTTTAAAAATAAAATGCATTATGAGGTCATATTGATAGAACCTATACAGGGCCACAGGGCCTTGACCTCATCTATCTGTATACCTGTATCTCCTTTCAACCATAGCAAAAATCCAGCAGACTACCACTCCAACATGATTATTCCTTTGCTTTACCCCATAGTACAGAGAATAGATAACAGTACTGCTGCTGTTCCCACAACGTAATTACTGAAAAAAGTTTGATTGCTCATAGTTCTTTTTGTCCTTAGGGTAGGGTATGTATAACCCATTGGGAATATGTAGTAACATTACTGTATCTTCAAGTCATTTGGAATAGGTCCTCTCTGTATGGTGTGCCACCAACTGGAAATGTGGTTGGATTGATTTGTTACATTTTAGTTTCAAATTTTAGAAATGGTTTTATTTTTTTATTATGTAAATACAAGTTTACAACTCAGATGATACAGTAAGGTATATTCAAAGAGCTAATATCCTGTCTCCTTCACCTATTCATGGGTAACCTTTATTTTTATGGTTTATCCTTTCACTCTTAAATGAAAAATATAAACAAATATGTAAATATTTTTATCTCCCCCTTTCGTGGCTTTTTTTCCTTAACAAGGTATCATGGAGCTCACTTTACAGTTTGATATAGAGATAGTCTTCATTCCTCTTTACAGCTGCATGCTACTCCATGCAGTAGTGGTAACAGTTTTTTCAATTAGTCTCCTATTGGTGAGCATTTGGTTTTTTTCCAGACTTGTGGTATTAATAGAGACTTCTGTTTTATATTTTTCCAGTCTCTATAGGAAAGCTTTCTAGTGGTAGATTTGGAGTCAAAGTGTAAATGCATGTGGATTTTGCTAGGTCCTGCCATATTCCCTTTGATAAAGTTTGCCCCATTTTATAGTCTCTGTAGCAACATATGACGAGGCCTATGCCCCCTCAGCTTTGCCAACAGAGTAAGTAGAGTATCTGGGCCTTTTGTGTTTTTGCCAGTCTCATACATGAGAAACAGTATCTTGAAGTTAACTGTATTTCTCCAGTGGTGAACAAGATTAAACATTTTAATGCATTTAAGCGACATTTGCATTTCTTTTGATTGCATTATCTATTCTTCCCTCTAGCCCTTTATTTTAGTGTTCTTTATGTATTTGAGATTCCTACTTTTTGTCTGTCGTATGTTTTAAATATTTGTTTCCATTTTTTACCATGCAAAAGCTTTTCTTAAAGATTTCTATGTAATCAAATATATTAACCTTTTTACTTTGTTGCCTTTTGATTTTGACTCATAATTAGGGATATGGCCCCCTCCTCCAAGTTGTAGAAAAAAATTCACCCATGTTTTCTGCTGGTACTTTTATGGTTTCTTTTTTCATAGTGGAAAGTACTAGGAATGGATGCAATTTACAGTTTTCTATATAGCTGTATATTACCCCAACAGACTGATTAAAGAGTCCCTCTTTTCCTCACTGACTCAGGTGCTGTCTTTAGCATTCAATAATTTCCTTACACTGCTCTATCTGTCTCTGGATTTTCTGTTTTGGTTCATCAGTCTCTGCCTGTTCATGAGCCAGCATCCAGCTATTTCAGTTACAAAGGCTTTATGGTGAAAACATCCGACTCCAAAATCCTTTTGTTGGTTGCAGTGCTAGGATTGGAAAACAATAGTCAATCATATTTAGCATGCATTTTTCCTGAAGCGTGTATACTCTCTCTTGACTACACGGACATCATGCTGAATGGACCAACCTTTTTAATGATTGCTCTGCTTTTAATTGGTATGATTAAAGGAAGTTGGAAGTTGGAAGATGGCCTGTAAATTCTTTTACACCACACCTCCTCAAGACTCTGTGCATAGCACAGTAACCACCACCATGGATTCAGACATTCAGGAAATGAATGGATGCAGACATGCCTCTAAACATGAAAGCTACGTGTTTTTATTCTGCCCACTGCCTTTCTTCCTGAAGATCACATGTGCCCACTTCCATGTCATGAGAAATTGCTCGTAACTTTTTGGTTTAAATTTTCCCATTTTAGTAAGGAAGTTAACCTTGAACCTTTGGTAACCACGAATCTTAAGTCTGCAGTGGCAATAAGTACATACCTATCGATAATCACCCTAAATGTAAATGGACTGAATGTACCAATCAAAAGACATAGAGTCACTGAATGGATAAAAAAACAAGATCCATCTATATGCTTCCTACAAGAGACTCACTTTAAACCCAAAGACATACACAGACTAAAAGTGAAGGAATGGAAAAAGATATTTCATGCAACTAATAGAGAGAAAAAAGCAGGAGCTGCAGTACTTGTATCAGACAAAATAGACTTCAAAACA